GTTTTGAGATCTCAGTGTAAAAAAAAATTACTTTATACATTTCATACACTGGTTTAACAGTAGAATACTTGTAGTTGATCCAGGAATATTGTCGAAGTCTATAATTTCCTTCCTAATTTTTCATATCTTCTATGATTGTATAAATGCCCATTTAATAGCCTGTTTTTTGTTAGTTATACTAAATATTGTTGGGAGATGGTACTCCGAGTCTACTTTTGACAGTCAATATAAGACATTACAAAAACTATTTTTGCTTGATGCATCAGCTACCTTTCTGTCGCTAAATTCAGTATATATTTTTCAACTCTTCCCCTGCTTGGCTTTTTTGTAACATCTTCCTGTCTCTCATTTCTTTTTTAATATACATTCTTCTCTTGACTTCCTACTTTTCCCTCTACCTCTTTGGCTCTAACTTTCCAGTGTTCTTTCTTGGCTCATCTTCATCTACTTGTCCATTAAGTGGTGATGTTTCTTAGGGTTTTTTCCTTGGCTCTCTTGATTACCCACTCTGCATACTCAGTGATATTGTTTCCATGGCTTTGATTACTATCTAAATGCTGATGGTTTTCCTGTATTTGTCTTCAGCCTAAGTCTCTTCTGAGCCATGAATCTGTATATTCATTCACTTATCAATCGATCAACAAGTATGTATTGAGTTTCTATTGCATGCCTGGTATTGTTCAAGATTATTGGGATCAGAGCTGAGCAAGAAGACATTGCATTCTCTTAGAGGAAAAAAAATAGTAAACACAAATCTTTTCAGACAGCCCTACTGCTATGAACACACTAGATAATGGCAGAGAGACTAATGGGGGTGGGGGCAGAGGAAGTGGAAGGGAACTGTTTGGACAGTGTGGTCAGGGAAGCCTTTCTGGGGAGGTGAGATTTTGAATCACCAATGTGAACAGTAAAGCAGTTCTTAGCCCTCACTGTGCATGAGAATCACCTATGGACCTTAAAAAATACCCATAGTTAGCCCTCAGCCCCAAGTATTCATATTTAATTGTCCCGAGATGGGGCTAAGCACTTATATTTTTAAAAAGCTTCCCAGACTGTGATGTTAATACACAGCAGTAGTTGAAAACCACTGATCAAGAGGAAGAGAATTCCAATCAATGGGAAGTGCTAGTATTCAAAGTCTTACTTTCATGAAATTGTAGCTTCATGAGAGGGTAATAATGTCTGTTGCATCATTTTTTAAATGATGATTTTTATAACTGGAGTCTAGTCCATGAAACTTAACAGGCATGTCCCAAACTGAAACCAACATCTCTCATCTCCCCTCCCCTAGCAAAAACCTGCTGTTCATTCTGTATTTCTTATCTCAGAGCCAGGTACCCCAAATCAAAATATGGATGTCTTTGATTTCTTCCTCACATATCCAGCCAATCTTCAAGTGCTGTTTGGCTCTATTTCCTAAATATTTCTACCATCTCTGCCCTTCTCTCCAGTCCATTTGCTGCTGTTCTGTCTCACCTTTTAAAGGGAACATTCAGCAGCCTCCAGTCCTAAATATTCATTCCTCCTAGTGTCCCCCCACCCCATCTGTTCCCTACAGTGTAATCCTTAGTTGTTTGTAAAGCTCAAATATATTTGAATCACTTACCTACTTACGTCCCTTTCTGGGTCCCTCCTTGCTCTCAGAATAAAGTCCAACTCCTGAAACTTGCTCTGGCCTTTATTGACTTCATTCTTCTAGCTGCTACCCATTTCCTCCCTTCTATTTTAAACTTCAGCCAAATTCAACCACATTGTATATTGACAAAATAAATCTAAAAAAAATAAAATCAATAAATCAATAAAATAAAATGAAAAAACAAAAGATTTTATAAAAAATAAAAACTTCAGCCAAATTGATCTACTTAGAGTTGTAGAATGTAAATACATTTCATGTTATGTTGCATCTAACTTCTGGCATAGAGAGTGCTCTCTGTTTGGAATAATATTCCCTGTTCTTCCCCACTCTCCGATTCCTGCTTGTTCTTCAGGTATGAGCATAGATGTGACATTTTACCTCTGGTAAACCTTTTCTAACACGTGCAGTATTGGGCTAGTAAATCTTTCTATACTCATGCCATCTTATCAGTTTAGTATAACCAAGGAATTATGTTATCATCACTGTTTACCACCAATGTCTTGCCAACATTTTAGTGATAAGCAGACATGTTAATGTTAACTAAGAACTTTAATCTTTAAAATCAATGAGGGGTTGGGCCGAGCCCGTGGCGCACTCGGGAGAGTGCGGTGCTGGGAGCGCAGCAGTGCTCCTGCCACAGGTTCAGATTCTATATAGGGATGGCCACCGGTGCGCTCACTGGCTGAGCGCGGTGCGGCCGGTCTCAAAAAGGACACAGACACACACACAAAAAAAAAAATCAATGAGGGGTTGACCAGTTAGCTCAGTTGGTTAGAGCATGGTGCTGATAACACCAGGNAAAAAAATAACGTAGTCAAAATAAATGCTACAAATGAAGGAAACTTTTGTTAATTACATATTCACTTTTAACATAAATTAACTTTTCCTTTATAGGAGAACTATGCCTTTTTTGGGTCAGGACTGGAGATCTCCTGGATGGAGTTGGATTAAAACAGAAGATGGCTGGAAAAGATGTGAATCCTGTAGTCAGGAACTTGAAAGAGAGAATGATCAGTGTAACATCAATCACAATGTGTAAGTTACAGGTTAACAAAACCACGTCATTTGTCAGCTTAACATCTATGGCCTTTTCTATTTTTCAGTTTACTGCAAAGCTCCATAACTGGTAATTTTGCTGAGAATTACAGAGGATCAGATGAGTTATTTAGCTAAAGAATGAGCCTAGTGATTGCCTAATAGACACACATACATGCTGTTTTCTTCTTTTTATTTAAAACGTTTAATCTTCACAATAATCTGAGAGATAGGTGTTGTTATTAATCCTACATTATAGCTGAGGAACCTGAGGATATTAAAAGGTACAAGTTTGGTGGCATATGTCAGGGACGTGATAGTAGTGGCTTACACAAGACAGAATTTTACTTTTCTCTCTTGAAAGCCTGAGTTGGTATAGTGACTTTGCTTCATAACATTTCAGGGGCCCAAGTGACGTTATGTCTTGTTGCCCTGCCATCCCGAGAGTGTAGCCACATTGGCATGATCTAAGAGAGTGTATTGCCTACGCCATCTGTATTCCAGTTGATCTGTGCTTTAATGGCGCGACCCAAAAGTTACACAGATCAGATCATGTCTGTCCACACTTTGTTGGCTAGAGCACTAGCCATAAGGGAAGCTAGGTGTTGCGGACTGTCTTCTGCATAGCTGTATATATAGATAAAAATCAGATTTCATGAGCACAGATGCAGGGTAGATGGCTATGGTGTGGTAACTAGCAATCTCTACCACAGTGATATTGAGAATTTGAAGGGTTAGGAACGTCTTGAGACCTGTTCCTCTAGTCATGGGTCTAGTCATTGATTTTATTGTATATTCTTATTTGACATTTGCATAAATATCAACTATGTGTGTGACAGCCATCTGTTTTTCTGACAGAAGTTTAGTAGCGTTAGACCAGAGACTGGTTTTTGCAGTATTCGAAGCAGAAATTAATTTCATATTTCAGTTAAAGTGGAGATAACACATAATATTTGTTGAATTTATATCCTTCTGAGTTTTGTTTAATATTGATGGCTATAAAATTTATTAGGGTTGGTAATTATGCTTTTGGTATCAGATAATTAACGTTTCACAGTTATGAATTTTCTAGGTCATTTTTTTATTGTCTTAGGATTTTTATAACAAATTATTTAAAGTTGGTTGAGTATATGTAGAAATGTTAGTTGTCTCACATTTACTCCCAATAGTCACAATTAAATGTGGAGATTCCTAAGGTTACCATTTTAGGATGGGGAAATAGGTTACAAAATGTCAGTTTAAAAGAAGTTGTAGTGCTGGAAATACAATGTTATTGCTACTTCTACATTATGTAATTTGTGTGAGTTTCTGTTTTTTTCCTCATGTACTCTTTTTCTCAGCATTCCAAACATGTTTTAAAAGTCTGAGAATTAATTTTTTCTATATACACATAAAATTGGAGAATATAGTGAAGACATGTTTTCTTTATGTATCTCTGTGCCCTGTCTGCCTCCCCCATTCCCGGCAAACTCACCTACATACCCAACCCCATTCAGACTTACAAATCCTTTGAAATAGCACTGCTAACAAAAGTGTCCCTGTGCAGAGGGAAGAGGTCCAAATGTCTTCGCTTAAGACACAAGGTGTTACTGTAGCAACCATGGCTACCCACCATGAGGTGACATGAAGGGAGGATTAGCCAGCACTCATTTCTTTCACCCCATCCAGTTGCCTCACAAATCTATGGACCCTCTCTTTCCCCTTCTACCTTTGTTCTCTTTCTTCCCCTGACTTCTCTCCATTCCTACCAAAATGTGTGAAACATAGCACTCCTGATTCTTTGATTTAGAGTGGGCTTTCTAAAATTAGAAAAATTACTGTAGTAAAATAATTTAGGTGATCAAGACCCTAACTAACTTACTTAATTCTATTTTTTGTAAATGGGCATGAAAATAGAAGGCCTTTAAATATTCCCCTGCTTACTTTTCCCCTCATTTTGGGATAAAAAGTTCAGAAGAAATAGGTAAGAAATTACGCAATTCATCTTGGTAGATCTAGGAGCAGCCAATCAGTTCTTACTTTGAACCCTTGATTAAGCGGCCTTTAAATATTCCCCTGCTTACTTTTCCCCTCATTTTGGGATAAAAAGTTCAGAAGAAATAGGTAAGAAATTATGCAATTCATCTTGGTAGATCTAGGAGCAGCCAATCAGTTCTTACTTTGAACCCTTGATTAA